TTATATCGGCCGGTGTTAGCCGACACTCGCCGAACACAAATCTTCTAATAAATGAGAGCGTCGAGCAATCGTAAAGGATATGCTCGATGGTCTCATCTTCTTGTTCACACCCTCTGCAGAGTGCGGATTCTGACAGCCCCATGATATGGAGATGCTTTCGTACTTAGCAATGACCAGTCAAAATGCCTGTGACTAGGCGCAGATTCTGTCTAGTATTTGTTTGCTGCAGTGTTGTCAGGATAACTTAAGAGCTCCCTGGCAACTCTGCAGTTTCTTGTTTCATTCCACCTTTCCTTGAATTTCACAAGGGAATGTTCTTTGATTAGATCTGTCACTACCGATTTTGTTAGGCCAATAGAAGGGCCAGGTTCAAAAAGTATTTGGTTGGCTGCTTTCTTGGCTAGTGAATCAGCAAGACAGTTACCTTTCGATGTGGCGTGACCTTTAATCCATCTTAAGGTGACCGCGTTGTTGATGGATACTTCGGCCAAAGCTTCGTGACATTACCATCCCTGAATAAATTCGTGGTCTGTTCAGGGTGAGTAGTGCTTGTCTGCTATCTGTATAGATGAGCATATTCCTTCCAGTGATATTGTTTCTGGTTATTTATTTTACTGCTATGAGAATCCCCGTTAGCTCTGTTTGAACTACACTGGCACTATTGCTCACAGCCCATTTTATGTTTAGGTTTAAGAATTTGGAGTATATTCCACATCCTGAGCCATGTTTTGTTTTAGAACCGTCGGTGTAGATATGAATCGTACCTGCCACTTCTATTATAACTGTATATGGCTTATGAAAGATATATTTTGGTGAGATGGAGTTTATGTTCGCCTGAAGCAGTGTGAGCGTATCCAGCGCCTCCTGCCAAAAGTGACGTCTCGCCTTACCGGATCCTTAATCAGGTTCTATTCCGTCCGTGCGGAGGCGTGTCATTGTCGTCAGAGCAACCTGCTTGATGTAAATATCAAGGGGAGTGAGACTAAGAATGACTTCCATGGCTCTAGTCGGTGTTGTTTTCATGGCTCCTGTTATGTTGAGACATGATGTTCTTTGAATTTGTTCTAGTTTACGGATAGCTGTTAATTTTTAGGTTTTCGGTACCCAGACAACTGCACCTTATGTATAGGTCTTATGATAGCCGTGTAAGTCCATGCGACTACTCTGGGGGAGAAACTTCAGGTGCGCCCCACGGTTCGGCGGCATTGTTCATAAGCAATGTATGCTCTTTTAACTCTGTTTTCTAAATACGAGTTCCATGTTGCTGTTAAAGGTGAGACCTAGGTACTTCATCTCTGTTGCAAAGTTTAGTTTTGTGTTTAGGAGTTCTGGAGGTTTTATTTCCATTTTCAACCTTTTCCTTGTGATGCACTAGTACCCACGTCCTTTTCAATCTTGGCAACATTTTTTTTATTTTTAGTTTTTCCTATTTTTCTCTTTATATTAGAAGATTTTTAATTTCTTTCGATCGTGTTTGCTCCAATGAACTTTTTAATTCTGTTTTGTAAGAAGTTCTGATTAATACAACAGTTTTTTTGCTTTTTAGAACTCTGTTGTGATTTCTTAGTCACTCTGGGCTAAGGTAGAATTATTTCCAGTGAGAAGTACAGGGTCACGCTCGGAACTTCTTCTTGGCCTTTCGACGTTGAAGGTTGAGGAATGTAGGGGGTCGTCTCCTCTTTTGATATTTCCGAGAGTCTTGGTGGTGTTTCAGGTAGCACTTCTTGTTGAACCTCATATACGTTACAAGTTTTATTAAAATGTGAAACAGTTTCTGCAACTTCTTCAATATTATTGTGAACGTGAACCTCTTCGGGAGCATCAGTGGGTTGTACAGCAGAAAACATATCTTCGGTGAACACGTTACGATTAACTGGAGTATACCTGTCTTTCTAAAACCATTTATTGCGTTTGTAGGAATGCAGGCTCGTAAATAAGCTTTACCAAATATTTCTGCAATTTGATATATAGTGACTACTCTTCCAGCATGATTACGTAGAAAAAATTCAACTTCTTGATTGTAGAAAGTTAAAAGAGGAGCCATGAATGAAACATCGAGGGGTTGCATTCTGTAGCTACAATGCGGAGGTAAACTCAAAATAGTTTTTGGCTTTTTCTCTACTGTTCAAGTTTTGTGTGTGGGTTTTTTTATCTATCTAAAATCAACAATGTGTGGTATGCACCAGAGAGAACTTAAAAAAATGGTCTAATCATTGCTCAAATAAATCAAGTTGCATGGCAGGCACAAATTATTTCAGAAAACGCTTTTATGCGAATACGTGGAAATGTAATCGTAGCAAGCAGCATTCATACAAATAACTACGGTACACAAAGTGCCACGTTCAGCAGTGTTCCTACTTGCTTACGTCCTTTTAATGCAATCACTTTCGAGGGACGTCCCTGTACAGGTGGTGATCCCTGTCTCATCAATTTTGTAGATTTTTGTTGGAGAAAAATTATAAAAGTAAGATTAATTAAAAAACAGTCATATTATAAATGAAAAATATTTATTTAAACTCTAAAAATTTGTTTTGTTACACACTAAAAACAATATCGACCAAATGGCCACCCCAGCATTAATGCAATAATGAGCTCTTTTTAAAGCATTTTTCATAACTTTCTGCAACATTTTAGGTGGTATTCTATCAATTTTTACCCAGATGTTGTCTTTTAATGTTTCTAGTGTTCGAGGATTATTTACAAATACAATATCTTTGAGATAACCCCATAACCAAAAGTTTGGAACAGTTAAATCGGGAGACATTGGCGGATATGCAATATCGGCGTTTTTCGAGATAAGACGTCCAGGAAAAATTCTGTTTAAAATGGCTATTGTCTCACGGGTCGTGCGTGCTATGGCACCATCTTCTTGATACCAAATAAAATTCATAATGAATTTCCCAAGTATCTACTTTGCAACAGACAGAATAACTCGAACATATGTCAATTAGAAACGAAACCATGACAACATTCCATAGGGTACTTGATTTTGCGCCACCTTGTATTTATTTGGTTAAAACTTCTGGTACGTGCGGCTGAGGTTACTTCTGGAATTAGAAGGGATAGTACTTATTTTAGGGAAATATTGCAACCAGTGCCAACCAGCTTTCTCCTTAACGGTACTGAAGTGGTGCGGTATATTATTCTATACACCAAACTAATAAGCTAAACATCGCATTGGATTAGTGGTCAAACGAAATATCATTATCTCCATGTTGGTAATAAACCGAACAAGGTCCGTTTCGTGCGCCTTGTTAAACGTAAGAAGTCTGCTACCTAAACCTTTAAGTGAATCTGTTCTTATTTTGTTTTTCTTTTAATACGATGTGGTAAAGTTTAGCCGCTTTCAGATAACCACATTCTCGATTTAAAACCGTGTCTATTGCTTTTTTCATGTTCTCCTCAGACCACTCCTGTCGGTAAATTTTTCTTGAGTACCCACCTGCCATATTGTGCATGTATTATTACTGCTACAAAGAAAAATCAGGTAAATAATATTATCAAGATAGTTTAGGTAAAATGGATTATCTCATTTTAAACAAATGCCACATATCCTGTTTTATTTATACCTCAACCTTTGACTTCCATAAATTTTACAAACTTAACCTTAACATATATTGATGAAATTTCATGCCTACTTTAAAAATTATAAAGCCATTCTCTTCACAAATAATAAAGCAATCCTTACGATTACGAGTTAATAATATTACATTAAAATATTGAAAATATGAAAATCATTAAAATTTATTTGTATGAACAATCACATTCACTATGAAACTGAAAGTTCGTTAGCAAATTTAAAATCAGTACATCTTGCGCTTCGGCAATATTTCGCTAGATGGGAACACTCGTTTCACAATGAAATACATGTTATCCCATTTTAGCTTACTGTCCCATTTTAAGGATACTTCCCCTTCTAGAGATAACATCTACATGAGTCTAATCTTTGGTTGTTTGATTATATAAAATAACAATTTAATGATTTGGCTTTATCAATAGTCTACTTGGTCTACTAGTGTTTATAAGTCCCCTTTTTAGGCACAATATAAGATCTTACAATCAATAGGTACAATAAGCTAACAGTCCTTTTTTAGACACCACGGTCTTAATAATTTTTCTGATATACTCAAGAGCTGAATACTTTAAATTTAAAATCTAGTTTGATTTCAAATATCTCGATTTATCCTTTTTGTTTCTTTTTATGATTTTAACGTCTTTTTACTTTGGCTTCTATTCCCAAGTAGAATTAAATAACCGTAAATCCTAAAGCGAAACATATGTGTTCTTAGACCTATCCCAAAAACCTAAAAGAACTACTATTTTATAATTTTTTTCTGTTGACGAAACACCTACATATGAAATTAACAATAAAGTAAACGACTTATTACTAATTTCATGATAATTTCCTAATAACTGAAGAAACTAGAGATGCGTGAAGTACCACAATCAAACTCAAGGATGAAACTATTTAATCTAGTTAAGGTCTAAACATTGTTTGTTGCATTTTGATTCTAAAATTAGGATCACTTCCGGATACACATTAGTCGCGTCTTGCGGTTATTTTGCAAAATGAATAATGGCGATAAAAATTGCGTCAATGCTCTTTATACAAATTACAACATGAAATTAACAAAAAACAAAGAAAGTTACGAGTCATGCCAGTGCCTACAAGCGCCTCAAATTGAAATTCAAACTGTTATTTAAAAAGAAGAGTTATAAAGTCAATTTCATTAAAAACAGTTTAACATTTAAATGACAGTTTGGATTTAATTATCGCGGACGTGACTTGTACCTCTGTCCATGTCAGTCATGGCCTACTTTTTGTGAATCAGTCGTAAATTGTTGAATCTTTTTACAAATATAAAAAACAAAATGTTACTGTTATTGTTACTGATTGTTTGGCCTTGCAAAATAGATGCATGCAAGAGCCATTTTGTATTTGGGGAACGAATTATTTTCAATTCAAAACAACATTCCTAATTTAACTTTTTTCTTTACAGCAAATCTTGCATCGTTCATCTGCGGAACAAGTTTTGGTTGGTCATCACCAGAAATCCCACTTCTGAAAAACGTGACGACCAGTCCTTTAGACTACGAAATAACTACATCCGAAGAAGGATGGATTGGATCGTTTTTGCCCCTAGCAGCAGCGATCGGTCCTTTAGGGGGTGGAGTACTAGCAGATGTTATTGGAAGAAAAACTACTTTGTTAGTAGGAACAATACCTTTTATTGTAGCATATATCTTAAATGTTTTTGCTACATCGGTGCTCTTCTTTTACGTATCTAGATTTCTATGTGGTTTAGCTGTTGGAATTATCTTTACAACGTTACCAATGTATATTGGAGAGATTGCCGACGACGAATGTAGGGGCTCTTTGGGTTCATTTATGCAATTATTTATTGTCATAGGGCTGCTATTTTCATACGCCTTAGGACCTTATATGTCCATATTTTTATTCAACATCATTCTAATAGTTCCACCAGTTCTATTTTTGTTATTGTTCTTTTTTTTCATACCCGAGAGCCCTTACTTTTTGCTGCAAGCTGGCAAAATAAATGAAGCTTTAGGTGCCAGTATCAGACTAAGAGGAATGAACAAATCCATGGTAAGCAAAGAATTAGAAGTGATGAAAGTTCAAGTGGAGCAAGAACAGAAAAACAAGGGCAGCTTTTTTGATATCTTCAAATCTAAAGGATTGCGAAAAGCGATTATGATATCCGTAGGTTTAGTAACCTGGCAACAGCTTTCTGGTATTAACATAGTACTCTTCTTTGCCCAGAGTATATTCACAGATGCTGGTGTATCGCTGGCTCCAGAATTATGTACAATAATTATTGGAATTGTTCAAATATTTGCTAGCGGGTGCACGCCACTTTTGGTGGAACGTTGGGGTAAACGGTTTCTTTTAATACTGTCCGCTATAGGCATGGGTATAGCTCAAGGTGTCCTAGCATTTTTCTTCTATTTAAAAGACGATCAAAAGAGTGATGTATCCAGTCTTGGTTGGCTACCGATCTTGAGTCTCATCGTTTATATTATAACATACTGTCTTGGGTTTGGACCGATACCGTGGGCAGTAATGGGAGAACTCTTCCCAGGAAATGTCAAATCTGTTGCTTCTTCAGCTACGGCTTCTATGTGCTGGATTCTTGGATTCTTGGTGACCAATTATTTTGGTATATTGACTGGTTTGATTGGAAAATCTGGATGTTTCGGAATGTTCACGGCCTGCTGTTTTATCGCCGCTGCATTCGTTTATAAGTATGTTCCAGAAACGACTGGAAAAAATGTTCATGAAATTCAGTACCTTTTGGGTGGATTGGGAAGAAGATTATCTTTTCAGTTGTGAGTTTGTTTTGATTAAACGCATTTTCATTTAAAAGTAATTCTAGTTTATCCATAATAAATTTATCTTATTGTGGTTCTTACACATTTACTTGGTGTTTTGCCTTAGAATTTAAGTGGTGGATTTAAATAAAACAATGTCTTTATTTATTAATATCATCAACTAAAAGATATATCGACTTAAGAAGGTCTAAACTAGGTACAAAAAGGTATACAAACGCCCACCACATTGTTTTATTAAAATCCAATACTTTAATCACAGGAAAATCACTGGGAATATATAGTTATTTATTGATGTAGTAGTGTAAATGAAGAGAATATCAATATGGTACAATATAAATAAGTTTTTTTTAATATTTAAAAGCAATTTTATTTCATGAATCGTTAGGTCACCATAAAAAGCCTAAAACTAACTTTTAAAAATCCCCCTTGGCATTTAATTTAAAATAGATTTTTCGCAATAATAGTGAGTAGTAGTAGAAAATGTTTTATACAAAAGTTGTAGTTAATAATATTTTCTACAATTTAACTTATTGGATCACTACGTTATGATAATGAATACAAACAGCAAAGGGCGCTAAATTTCCTAAAAACTTGGTTTTCGATTTTTCGACCCAAAACTATTTTTTATTCTAAAACTTTATACATGAAAGTTCTTCGACTTGGAGATAGAGCGCTCGGAATTTATAAATTATATAATTTTTTGAGGTGACGCGAAGCCAGAATAGAATTCCGACTCTCGATTCGACAATATAAGCGGAACACCTGATTAACGCCTTAATTATGACTAGTGCAAAAATTGACATAAACATAAAGTTTTGTATATTTTATGTATTATTTAGCGTTGTTTGCAGATTTTCCATTTATGTCTTATTTTTCAAGGTATGACGTCATCGGATAACATTTTAAATGCGTCACCCTGTATTTATATTTTTTTCTAGTAGATTTGATTTTTCTGAATTTACCAATCTAGACTTACGGTTGTATAAGAAAGAAATAAAATTTAATAGTAAACATTATAATAAAATGTACGTCAAATAACAATAATTTGTAATATATTTCATTATACAAATTATTTGAAATTATTATTATTATTAATCATGATTATTGTTTTTTAAGATAGAAAAAGACGTCGCTGATTTGTTTAATGTTACATTAATTTAAATTAATGCTTACTATTAAATTTAATTTTTTTTATACAAAACCGTAAGTCACAGACCCACTAAACCTGGCATTAGTAAACTTATATCTACTCTGAAAAAAGTATAAATACAGGGTGACGCATTTAAAATATTATCAACGTCGTCATATCTTGAAAATATACAAAAACTTTTATTTATATCAAATTTTTAGTACCAGTCATAATTAGGTCATATATCAGGTGGAACGCTCATTTTACCCAACCCTGTATATATATTATAGTGAGAGGGTACAGTCTGTTCGCTATACTTACGCGGGTTTCGGATTAAAAATTTTATGAGTATTTCCAGGTAAGTACCCGAAAGTTTGACCTGTTCTTTGGGGAAATATCAACTGGTTAAATGAAATGAAAAATAATGTACAACTTTTAATTAAATAATAATGGAGAATCTTTTGTATAATTGAGAACAAAATTAAACTTCTTCATTAATGGAGTCTAATGTGGCTATTATAAACCTAATAATAATTTTATATTACCCTTCACACAGAAAATATGGTCTATGTATAATAAGAGGGTTATTTAGCTCAAATAAAATATTTTCTAACATAAAAATTTGTTCCATGTACAGAATTTACAATAAAAAAATGGAACTTGCCAACAAAAATAAAAATCAGTCATTATCATCCAAAATATCATAATCGTCATCATCATCACTGTCATCATCATTAATTGTTATTATGATTGGACTTATTTCGTTTATTTTATTTTCACGAGTCCACCAATCTTCTATTAAGTTCTCACACTTGGATATACAGTTCCGCCACACTTCTGGAGTTGCAATTGAAAGTGCTTTTCGCCAAGTTTCCCGAACTGCGTCGTCACTATAACCATTAGGCCCAATATGGTTGTCATAATATTGTTTTGCTATTCCCCATATATATTCGATGATATTAAACTGGCAATGATACGGTGGCAGACGTAAAACTTGATGACCGTAACTTTCAATAATCTGATCCACAACAAAGGTTTTTGGTTTTGCGTGTATATTTGCCAAGCGTAATAATTCTGATTTTAATATATATTGAGGAAATGGTATATGTTCCTTTGTCAACCATTCTTTAATTTTATCAACAGTCCAAGAATTCGTTGGACTTTTGTTTTATACTTCAAAGTGGTAAGGTGCATTGTCTAAAATAATTACGCTGGGCCCACTTAAACCTGGGAGAAGTTTTTCATGCATCCATTTTACAAATATTTCTGTGTTCATATTATCGTGATAGTCACTGGATTTTGATTTAGATGAAAATATAAAATCAGCACCTTTTATAAAACCCTATTTCCCTCCTGCATGTACAATTGTGTGTCGCTTCCCTTCTCCATCGGTATGTTTGATGGACTTTACGTTATCATCTTGCCATATTCTCTTGGTTGCACCCCTAGAAAATATCCATGTTTCGTCTAAATATATAAAATTCGCTCCTTCTTCTTTAAATTTAGAATATTTTCTTAGAAAGTTAATTCTCTTGTGCACGACAGAACTTCTTTCACAAAGGGCCTTTCTGTTATTCTCCTTTTGAAATTTGAAACCCAAGTTATGTATCACTTGCCATAGACTTGTTCTGCCAATGTCGTTAAATTTTCTATCTATTAATTCCGAGAGAATTGTATTTAAGGTCACATGTTCCTTGTTGGCCCTCATTCGATAAATGGTATCACGAATTTTAAATTTCGTTCCATCTGGAATATCTTTCGTTTTCAATGATGGACGAGTTTTGCGGTGATCTTCTTTCGGCAGTTCACTATTGTGATTTTGTAATACTCCTCTTAATTTGGTTTCACTAATTCCTAGAGCATCGCATACACGTTGTTGTACACACATTACCGATTTTAAAGGACCGCCATTTTATCTACATCTAACACACGTCTAGGCATTTTTAAAATTTCCACTAAATTTACAATATACATACAATATCAACACTTGCAAAGAATCAAATTAACTGCAATATTTGTAACAAATTTAGTACCTACCCTAATGTTATTTTAATTTAAATCTGACCATTAGGGTAATTTTACCTAATTTCTTGGGAAGAGGCTTATTGGAACTGGTTGTCAATGACTAATTTGCATAATTTTGTTAATCGGAAACCCGAATAAGTATATCGAACAGACTGTAGTATTGTCAAATTATAATACCTGTCTCTACCATACAATGATGGTATGAAGTGAACATCATAATTAATTTTTAAATAAGAATAGTCATACATAATTATATACAATTGTTTGTCCTGACTAACTGACTGCTGATTGGTTGAGAATGACACCATATAATATACCGAATACTAAATTATACATGAGCCACTTTCAATGAGCTCTAGCTGCCTTATGAAGCATTTTCGGATAAAAGTAATTTAGAAATATACAAAATTAAGACTAATATCTATGGTTTGCGTTTGACAGGCGAATTCTGGGATATCAATTTTGTAGATAGTTTAGAGTTGAACTTTTACGTTATCAGTTTTAGCATATACATATTTTAGGGTCGAAAAAGCGAAAAAACGAGCTTTTGTGAACTTTGACGCCCTCTACTGGTTGCATTTATCATCCTAGCCTAGTGACACAGTAAGAAAAATTATAAAAAATACTGTTGACAACTTTTGTATGAAACATTTTCTATTAACACTCGCCGTTTTCGCGGAAAATTTCAAAATAAAATGTTAATAACAAAATGTTAATTTCGAAAATTTGGTTTTCAGATTTTTTTGTGATCACCTAACTGTTCATTAATTGAAATGGTGTGAATTTTTTTCTGAGAAGCCCTTTTCTTTTCTCTTTTTTGTGTACTACCTGAAATAATTTGTTGCAAATTGAAGAACTTTTGAATGTCAGATATAGAAGAAATTATTTTTTGTAAAGAATGTTTTTTACGACAAAATATTAGCCGTGTATGTCAGTGTTGGTTTCTATGTTTTACATTGTAATGTAATAAAAGTCCAAGCTGGTTCTTGGATCATTTTTTAATATCAGTTCAATCGATTTATGATAAATAAATATGAAAATGTTAAAATTTGTAAAGCAACGTTGAGCGTTGCTAATTAATGAAAAATTAACATATATTTGGTAGATTTATATGTTTGTCGTTATTTTTGAAGCAAACGAGTCTTCAACGATATCTATATCACACGTGTTTTGTAAAATAAGAAATTTTATTGAAATGGCGTTTTTAGTGACTTAATTGTTAGTTATGTAAAATACCACGATACACAGACTAACGGTATGTTTCTGCGCATGCAGCTGACTGACGGTGACGTTATGTGGGACATACAGTGATAATCTTAAGTCTTACCCCCCCTAACTAACTCGTTACTGGAGTCTTGTTAGGAAAATCGCCGAGACAGGTCGATTTTTGTTTTCTACAATGTACATTTTTGTATAATTAGTTTACCCTTAATTTCATCCCTTACTCGAGGGGAACAACCCTTTCGAAAAATTTAAATGGCATGGGGTAGTGAGTGATAGCTCATTTGAAAGGGGGTTTTATTCTCTATTCAACCATGTAATAGTATATTACATTACGAGTGTGGAAAGTGACATTTTTCACACGAGTGAGAAATATTGTCGCACGAGGCGCAAGCCGAGTGCGACTATCACACGAGTGTGGAAAATCACTTTTCACACAAGTGATGTACAATATTTTTCCTACGACCACAAAATAATTTCATCAAAAAATGTAAAACCAGATTATTATAATAATTAAAATGTATTTAAAAAAATAATCAACAATAATCGTATTTATTAAATTTTCATAATTTCTAAACAAATAAAAAAAAATAAAAAAAAAATAAAAAAAAAATTCTGGCACAGCCAGGATTCGATCGCGGTCGTTGGACGGTCTCAAATTGCAAAGTTGATGGTCTAACCAACTGAGCTAACAGGCCTTACGGTAATTGATTGATCTAATCGCTTATGTGTTTAACCAGAATAAAAAGCAAATATATCTTAGTTATTTTAAAATTATTTTAAAAATAATTGTTAAAAATGTACATTGTAGAAAACAAAAATCGACCTGTCTCGGCGATTTTCCTAACAAGACTCCAGTAACGAGTTAGTTAGGGGGGGGGTAAGACTAAAGAGTCTCGCTGTATAAATATAAGCATTAAATGGGAGATAGTGTTTAAAATTCGATATTTTGTCAATTTTAGATTTTATGCAGTTACTTAAGCTTTATTGGATATTTTGTAATATATTCGTTGACAAATATGAAGGTTTAAGGTAAATAATAGTAATAAAAATATAAATTTTTCTCATAAATTATAGGTATTTTGTCACAAAATCCATAACGTGGCCACAAGATAAGTAAAAAATATAGACTAAAAATACAAGTTTGACTCAAATTTGTACTTTCTGGGCGTAGTAGTTCTCTTGCAATCTCTTTTCTTATTATGTGAAATAAAAATAAGGTGCAGAAATAAATTATTTATTTATAAAAAGTAAATACACAAAAAAATACTTTTTATTTGGTAAATTTAAACATTTTTTATCAAGTTTACTTCGAAAATACTCAAAACCAATTTTTCTATTATATGTGTTCGTGTTCTGCTCATGCATGGCATTACTTCAAAAGAACCGTTGTATTGGGACTAAAATTTTAAAATACCGATTTATTTTCTTTGCTTAACGAGGCCCACGCAACCGGTCAAATTTAGGTTTCTTTTTTTGCGTCTATGTTTACGAGGAATTTCACAACTACTTTCCTCAAAGTGGATAGGGCAACTTCAATTAAGTTTGTCCTTTCTTCGATAAGAGTTTTCCCATATTTTGTAGCATTCGGAAATATATCTACCGCGTAGACCGGCATTTTAAACATTAATTTAGTTTTTCCCTGTTATATATAGGAAAATATAGTCACTACTAACACAAAACCAAATAAATTATTTTACACTATTCAATCGAAAAGTGTCAAAATAACTTGAAAGTTCGTCCCGCATTACGTCATGCGCGGTTTGGACGAATTTTGAATCGAAAGTCAGCATACCATTAGTATGTGTATCATGTAAAATACATCAGTGGCATTGTTTAGGATTTCCTGTCAATTTTAGTTTTAGCCAACTAGAAATATCAGTTTGGTCACGTGGGATATGGGAATTGGTGAAGACTTTGCATGTAGCGTATATTAATTTTTGTGTTTAAACATAATTAAGATATAGTTCGTTGTGGTTCCATCTACGAGGCACCTGTGCAAGAATCTCCCTGGTATACCTTATGCGGTGCATTAGTGATGACCAAAACATGAGCCGAACAGTTTTTTCATATAGATATAAATATTTATTAAATCATTTAAGTTTTTTTAGGTCGTAAAATATATTCCTAACGTAAATAGATAACATTTTTGTCAAATAATCGTTTGGTAATCAATTTTTCAAAACAAAAAATAAAAATATCTAGAGGTTAAGTGTCAATTAGAATTTTATTTACATTATTTTTGAGATTATATTCATCTAAAATCATATTAATGCAATAACTATAATAAAAATAAACTACTTTTTTATACCATCAATCAATATATTTATATAAAAAAATCAAACCTTTTAATGTTAAACTGACGTCAGAATTGTCATAGATGGTCTGCGACCAGATTTTTAATAATTTCATTGGCTAATAGGCTTTTACAGATACAAATAAAATAGAATGTTCCTTTTTGATTCATTTTTAAACTATTTTCTTAATAATTTTTCTATAATAACCAATATTCTTGCTATTTGATTGTATAGGCGAAATTTGTATATGTACACTTTCTACCAACTTTCCTCTTCTATGAAAAATAAATTTTTAAATTTAAATGAATTATCCTAAATAATATAATACTATTGCTTGAACTCTTTTTACAGCAATATCAGGTAGTTCCATAAGTCCACGTCTTGGTAGTTGATAGTAGAAATAGTTATTTCTTGCGTGTAAGAATAGATTTCCACTTTAGACCCCTCCCTTCACAAGCGCAATCTGAATGTGCGCTTGAACTTAGAGTGATCTTGATGTTGATTTTGTTGTTTTCGTTTTTGTATGGTTTTTGTGTTTGGAAGTATTAGAATAATTTAGATTGATTTATTTTCTTTTTCGATAAAATGGCAAACCGATGTATTGTTTGTAAAAAAGACTTTTCATTCTCTGTTTGCATATTTAAGATTATAAAAAATTCTGAGTCTTATAAATAATTTAATGGTGTACATTTTCGCAAATTGTTGGCAAGGATGACCAAATTCTATGTTGCTCATCTCAAAAAGGTATGCGTTGGAAATTCCAGGCTTAGTTGACAAACTATCAAATAGAGATATACATTTTTTTTCTAATTTGAAAATATAAAAGAGAAATTTTTCGCTGGGAGATTTTAAATTTCCAAACACCTTTTCTTCAGAGTCGTATGCTTTAAAATGCGTTAACAAGTTAGAATTGTTAAGTAAATTGCATTCTTCTGAGAAATTTACGCAAATTTCGCAAGAGTGGATATGTAATGATTTTTTGATTAAATAGCCACATTCATAGTTAAATGCACTTTGATTGGTCACATTTAGCTCCCTGTAGTCACATTCAGAAATCGTTATTCCCCCAACTGATTGTTTTGAAATATATTTAATTTTCATTAAGCGATGAACTTGTTTTCCTAAGGGAAAAACGATTCCCAGGATTCCTTTCCAATGTGTGCCCCACTGCCGCTAGTGGCCACAAGCCGCCACTGCTTTGTGGTGATTTATATATAATATAAGAATTCAGATGTGCGCATGCAGTGGACAGGGATTTAAAATACATTTTTCGTGTTTTTAGTAATATGAGTACGTTCATGAATGTTCGTGAATATTCGTGGCATTTTTGGATTATTAGCTTAATTAGGGACATTTTAATTAGTTGGTAGTACCACAGTTTATTGCTAAAGAATCAGTTAGCTCACTTTGACCAGTTGAATGTTCCAAAATAACATCCACTCCAGGGATACAAATTCAAGATGCGCAGAAGACTGCTGTTTGAATATAGTAGGCGGTTGTCATATATTGTATTGGTTATGATTTGATTCTGTATGCGCCAGGGATACAAATCCGAGTTGCGCAGTATATAAACTGGAACATTGAGATCAAAAGTGCCGACGCAGAACGAACTGATTCTTTAGCTATAAACTGTGGTAGTACTATGACGAAAGACGTCACTGATGACGTACAACTGGATTTGTATCTATGTAAGTTGTTAGGTATAAAACAATATTTCTTGTATCCCTATAATATTAACACTCCACTAAATCCCCAGTAGGCGGCGATAACCAATTAATTACTTTGCCAAATGATGACGTAGCTGTATTCTTCTAATTGTAATCGCACCCTACCTAGGTATCTATTCTTATAGATCACAGCCACCTCAGTTATAAGAAAAATTTGAAATAATATAATTTCAGATTTATTTTTCTATATTTTTTGATATCTATATGCACATTCGAATAAAAAATAATGTATTGTCCTTATAACATGACTATTTTCGCACTATCAATTTAAGAGATTACCTACTTATCTGATTCCTACACCTACTAATGGTTTAATTTTGTAATATGTAGATGGATAACAACGTACTCTGTTGTATTTTTATACTCATTTAAAACTGATCATTTATTTATTTTAAGTTATTTTTATAAAATTCAAATAATACATCTAGGTACCAAAGCAAGCATTGTATATTAACTTTAATTTAATTGAACATATCTATTTTGTTGTTTTATTAATTATATTCGCCTTAGATTTCTTATAATCAAAAACATGTTTTCTTTTGCATTTAGATGACTAGGTACCAATCTGTTTTTACTTTTTGTGTAAACTTTAAATGACTGATATAGTATAGTCTATTCCCTGAGACTGTTTAAAATCAAAAGTGGAGTCAAAAATGTCTTCACTATAAACGAAAATAATATATTTTCTATACAGTATGTTTAAATACTGAATATATTGTAAGATTTTATTGTAAATAAATTATATTTTAATATTAAATTCTGTTTTTTATTTTCGATGATAAACTTTTGCCGTAGCAATCTAAATATTGGCCTATCTAACTTACAGTATGAGGTCAGAGGTGTACTAATATCGCATCATACGATATGTACTTATCATTTATGGTTTTCTCCTTCTTATAGATATTTTCGAAAATTAGTGAAAAAAAAAATAAAACATTTATTTATATATTGAGTAAAACGGAATAAAATCAATTTTAATTGATTTTTTTTACGACTAAATCTTGATTATTTTATCGCCGAGATTAAATTTAAATTGAATATAAAAATTTTATCTCGAAAAGTGTTAATCAATAAATTATATTTAAATAAAATTTCGTCAATTTAAACAAAATGCACCTAAATAAAAAATGATTATCTTTAGCACTAGCGTCTAGCCTCTGTGGGGCCACCTATGATGCTCATTCATGACAAGCGTAGCGAATGTCAAACAGTTGGAAGTTACAAGATTAGAAAATTATTATAAAAAAAATGTTATCTTGAATTGTGTTAAAAAAATATTATTACAGGGTGACCCAATACGTTTTAACTATATGGACAACTTTATTATTTATTTTCATTTTTTTTTATGTAACAATTACCGCGTCTCAACAGGTTATTGACATGATGACATATACATATAGTGTCTACTTAAGTCTGCACCATATGGGAAACTTTCTATTATTAGTTTTATGGAAAAAAGTTATTCTACATAAAACGTTCTGCATGGTCTAAAACTTACAACCGTCAAATATCAAATTTGTTCAGTTCTATACGTGGTTTGTGGAAAAATATAAATTGTATGCAAGAGTACCTAACAAACAATGAATTGCACAGATATTGCTCTGGCCTTTTGCTAATTGAAGGGAACATGAATGCGACGATTAAAAGATAAAAGCCCACTGTTGGCCTTTCGATAGTGGCCTAGCATTATGTTGATTATTGATGGCCTTAAAAAGGATAAGAAACTGTATTGATTAAGAGTACAGCAAAAGTCAAAAGGCTAAATATTAATTCTAATGCATAGGTAGGATTCCCCAGTCGACCATTCATTGTTGGATTCTAAATAACAGTGCTGTTCCTGAAGTGGCGATGGAAACAGTAACAAAGCCTTTGTAGCATTTATAGCATTTATAGCATTTATAGCATTTATAGCATTTATAGCATTTATAGCATTTATAGCATTTATAGCATTTATAGCATTTATAGCATTTATAGCATTTATAGCATTTATAGCATTTATAGCATTTGTAGCATTTATAGCATTTATAGCATTTATAGCATTTATAACATTTATAACATTTATAACATTTATAACATTTATAGCATTTATAGCATTTATAGCATTTATAGCATTTATAGCATTTATAGCATTTATAGCATTTATAGAATTTATAGAATTTATAGAATTTATAGAATTTATAGAATTTATAGAATTTATAGAATTTATAGAATTTATAGAATTTATAGAATTTATAGAATTTATAGAATTTATAGAATTTATAGAATTTATAGAATTTATAGAATTTATAGAATTTATAGAATTTATAGAATTTATAGAATTTATAGAATTTATAGAATTTATAGAATTTATAGAATTTATAGAATTTATAGAATTTATAGAATTTATAGAATTTATAGAATTTATAGAATTTATAGAATTTATAGAATTTATAGAATTTATAGAATTTATAGAATTTATAGAATTTATAGAATTTATAGAATTTATAGAATTTATAGAATTTATAGAATTTATAGAATTTATAGAATTTATAGAATTTATAGAATTTATAGAATTTATAGAATTTATAGAATTTATAGAATTTATAGAATTTATAGAATTTATAGAATTTATAGAATTTATAGAATTTATAGAATTTATAGAATTTATAGAATTTATAGAATTTATAGAATTTATAGAATTTATAGAATTTATAGAATTTATAGAATTTATAGAATTTATAGAATTTATAGAATTTATAGAATTTATAGAATTTATAGAATTTATAGAATTTATAGAATTTATAGAATTTATAGAATTTATAGAATTTATAGAATTTATAGAATTTATAGAATTTATAGAATTTATAGAATTTATAGAATTTATAGAATTTATAGAATTTATAGAATTTATAGAATTTATAGAATTTATAGAATTTATAGAATTTATAGAATTTATAGAATTTATAGAATTTATAGAATTTATAGAATTTATAGAATTTATAGAATTTATAGAATTTATAGAATTTATAGAATTTATAGAATTTATAGAATTTATAGAATTTATAGAATTTATAGAATTTATAGAATTTATAGAATTTATAGAATTTATAGAATTTATAGAATTTATAGAATTTATAGAATTTATAGAATTTATAGAATTTATAGAATTTATAGAATTTATAGAATTTATAGAATTTATAGAATTTATAGAATTTATAGAATTTATAGAATTTATAGAATTTATAGAATTTATAGAATTTATAGAATTTATAGAATTTATAGAATTTATAGAATTTATAGAATTTATAGAATTTATAGAATTTATAGAATTTATAGAATTTATAGAATTTATAGAATTTATAGAATTTATAGAATTTATAGAATTTATAGAATTTATAGAATTTATAGAATTTATAGAATTTATAGAATTTATAGAATTTATAGAATTTATAGAATTTATAGAATTTATAGAATTTATAGAATTTATAGAATTTATAGAATTTATAGAATTTATAGAATTTATAGAATTTATAGAATTTATAGAATTTATAGAATTTATAGAATTTATAGAATTTATAGAATTTATAGAATTTATAGAATTTATAGAATTTATAGAATTTATAGAATTTATAGCATTTATAGCATTTACAGCATTTATAGCATTTATAGTACTTACAGAATTTATAGAATATATAGCATTTATAGCATATATATTTAAAAATATATTCAATAACTTTTAGAATCAGTTTTAATTCTACGTCATAGTTTGAAAGCGCTTAGAACAGTAATGTCACTAACAGTGACCTGGAAGGATGGATTTTACTGTCCCATCAATTAGTCTGACATCGTTTTCCATGAAGAAATTAGAAAGGCTATGCGAAAGGTACATAAGGGATGCGATGATTACAACACAACTACATCCAAACCAACATGCATACACCCCAGGCAGATCTACTGATTCAGCCCTTCATCTAGTTGCTGGCGGGATAGAAAGATCCCTGGACAATAAGGAGCCATAGACATAGAAGGTGCTTTTGATAAAACCACCTTCCCAAAGATAAAACACTCACTAACCAACATGAATGTTCCACAAATGGTTAGTGGGTGGATACTGTTATCACCTCTACCGTGGAATATGGTCCTCGACACCCTCATCAGCCGCCTCAATAATGACAGTCCCTACACAATAGCATATGCAGATGACCTAGTCATTCTGCAAACAGGGAATTTTGAGAACAAACTCTGCGAAAGAATGCAAGTACCTCTAAAAATTATAGAACAGTGGTGCATGGACCATTCACTGTCTATCAATCCTAAGAAGACAGAAATGGACCATTTCACAAGGAAAATGATGAAAATGGAATTAAAACCACCAGAACTCCTAAACACAAAACTAAACTTTGCGACAGAGGTGAAGTACCTAGGTCTCACCTTTGACAGCAAGTCAACATGGAACTCGCATTTAGAAAACAGAGTTAAAAGAGCATACATTGCTTATGAATAATGCCGCCGAACCGTGTGGCGCACCTGGGGTTTCTCCCACAGAGTTGTCGCATGGACATACACGGCTATACGGTGCAGTTGTCTGGGTACCAAACGCTCAAAAATTAACAGCTGTCCGTAAACTAGAACAAATTCAAAGAACAGCATGTCTCAACATAACAGGAGCCATGAAAACAACACCGACCAGAGCGATGGAAGTCATTCTTAGTCTCACTCCCCTTGATATTTACATCAATGAGGTTGCTCTGACGACAGTGACACGCCTCCGCATGGTTAGAATAGAACCTGATGTAGGATCTGGTGAGGCGAGACATCACTTTTGGCATGAGGCG